TAACTCTTGAAGCAAACAGTTATCCAATAAAGTAAATTAGTAAGGAGTAGTGGTGTTCTGATTAATTTAAATAATCGAAAATTGGTCACAGTGACCAAACGACCAAGCAATCGATCACATTTTCTCATAATCGAACATAAGCGATTTTAGAACTACTGCTTTGTCTTTGAAATACTTGACAATGGAACATATCGTTGAAGTTGTCAGGGCCTGAAAACGTGTTTAATTCTTAGAAAACTCACTTCACTAACTGAAAAAACATGACTGAATATTTCTTGAAGACTCCGGAAAGTTTATGTTCATGATATATTAGTCATCACTTGAAAGTAGCAAATTGCATCATGTGATACATATCTGCAATAACAACCTGGATAGGAAAATCTGAAAAATGACGCTAACCAATTTTTGTCGATGATTGTTCGTTGGTATTGAAGCAATCATCAATTGTGAGATTTCAACCAATTCCCAACACTAAGGGGTCCAAGTCATAATGAAGTTTAGAGGCTGTGAACTCATGAGCTGAAGACTTGCCCCAGTAAACACTTACCATGCTTACCATCTCATACAACCATACATCCCAGGATTGATTCCACAAATGTTAAACGTTCTAAACTGAGCCATGGGGTAACAGTGATCAAAATATTGATCATAGGGTAGCAGTTAATTGAGCTGCATTGGACTTGATTACTGACCAAATATGGCTTCAGCAGTGGACCTCACCCTGTGTAATGGCTAAGACACTTCACACTAAAGGGACATGGACACACCTAAAGCAAAGAGCACCGATTATTGAAATACAAGATACAGAACATGACCTATTCAATAATGCTGACTTGACAAGAGAAATACTTTGGTACCTCTACTTGTCTCAAAAACAACCGGGACAAAGAATATCTTAGTGGGATTAATTTCACAATTGAAGTAAGATTACAAAGTTACACATAAATCCCATCAGCTGTCCTTACCATGATTATACAGGATTATCAAAGGTTGGACTAACATTTAGTCTGATATGAACATATTTTACAGAAAACAGTTCCTATATTATATTCATTAAAATATATTAACAAAAAGAGCCCAGAGACTTTCTTCAGTTTCACTGTGGCAATCTAGACCTGCCACATAATCTACACTTACATGGGCTGCATTGGTTGTGTTTGTTTCAGGGTCTGTATGACACAAACTAAAGAAAGGTTAACCCTGTCAACTATTTCAAATGATCAACTGATCAGACCAATGCTCTTCCTGGTGTTTGGGGTCCACTGAACTGATTTCTTGCTCCATTTTAAAACATATTTGGAAAGTAAAGTTTTTTCCAAAAAATTAGAGCCTTGAAAAGGGAAGCACACTATTGATGCTTTCAATAATTTATGACATTTTCCATGTTAAGACTAAGAGCATGCGCCACCAGAATTAGCACATCACCAAATCTATACCAAGGTAAACAAAACAATCCTGGTATTACACTTTCCAGTTAAAAAGTGTTCATTGTACAGTCACAGTCTTATGTTTGTCATCTGGCACATCAGTTTTATTCATGAATTTACTCAAACTCATCACTGTTTACAGCAATCACAATCAGCAACAAAACATTCTATTATCACAATAATCCTTCAAACCCAGAAGACTTCATGCCTAAAACAACCCATGCAGTCATTAAAGGCAGAATGTCACACCACATTTCTCTAAAAACAACATAATGCATTTCTCTCAATAATACTAACCATCAGCCCCCAGGGAAGCTACCATATAATTTATTCCTAACAAAATTACACGTATTTAGATTACAATATTAATTTAAAAAGTTTGAATGAATTAATGCAATGTTGCATGAAATTGACTCGTGCCCTCCACATGGCAAAAGTGTATCTGACCTGTTTCCATTCTAGTTCATTTTCGATATAGAATAAATGACCATTTACAATGGATCTAGGGAAAACTCTTCAAATAATTGCTATTTTCTGCTGTAGTCGCTGTTGCAAAAATGATTGCAGAATTACTTGTAAACAGTAGTCAACTTTCATAAGCATGACTGACTAATAATACACAACGCTAACCACTTGAAAAACAGAAAACTATCATCCATATGACTCCATCTTATTAAAAGGACAAATATTATGCCTTAATCAGATTAATTCATCAGTAATGATCAGAGTTTGGGAAATCATTAACTTGACCCCTGACCCCATTTTATCCAATATTCACAACTAACTCAGTGATTCTAGGATTAATTTGAATAAATCAACAGTGAAAAAAATAAAATAAAAATACATTTTATATATTGAATGTCAAAGTTTATAACAATGAGAAATATGGACGATTATTTCATAGCAAACATTTTGAATTTATGATTGTTTAGAAGGGTATACAAGATATACCTCATGGTGTTGACTTGATATGGGAGGTTATTACGGACTGATTCAGGTTTAGCCTTTTGCTTAAGTGATGACACTGGCAAACATAGGTATGATACAGACAAATTTCAGTCACAATCAAGTCAATTTGAGGATCCAAACCCGAGTCCTTAGGCCCTGGATCCATGCTAAGGGAAATAACTCTGTCAGTAAATTGTCATGCATTCAGCCATTGGTCCAACATGTCCAAAGCACGAGTTACTTAATTACAAAACAATATATATATATATTAAGCCTTATAAACTCAGCACTTCAACTTCGTGAGTCGACATATTACACTCAAAACACATTAAAGAACACAAAATTCATTAAAGTTGCTGTCATCAATCTGACATGTGATTAAACATCATTACAACTCTGATGAATACACCTGTCCACTAGAAAACTGTTGTAAAACTATAAGGTTTATATTAAATGTCTCAAATATGCTTTTAAATGACCAAACATTTGTCCATGCAAAGCAGAAAACATATTGCAGTCGGGAATTATTGTGAAATGAATTTTTCCGTTCAGAATGAGAGTGATTAAGTGAAAAAAGTAAATCACTGCCTTGAACTGTATTCCAGTTTATTCATGGTGTTTCACCTGGAAAATCCTGAAGCTATACCGGTTTTATAAGATTACCACTTCCATGAAATGGTGGAGCATAGTTTGACATAATCAGGGATTCAAACCCCAATGTGTTTCTGGCATGCCAGGGGAAGCAACTCTACACAACACCTTAGACAAATGGACACCAATCAGAGATTTTCATGGAGTCTAGTATTTGAGGGTCCCTGGGACTCAGGGGTCCTAGACACTTCAATATTATTACTAATACTGTTACTGTATCGTTTATCATGATCATTACAATGTTACAGTAATTAAATTGCAAATAATACCATAACCCAGCTAGTAGCAAACTCAGTGATAACTTATTGTCACTTGATTGGAATTTTTACAAAAAAGTATTTGGACTTTTTCTGAATCCCTGTGGACAATCATATAAATTTTGTTGCGTCCATTGTAAATTTTTATGCGTATAGGACGCAGGAATTCGCGTCCTGTAAATCCCTGCCAATCACCCACCCTCATTCAATTTAAACAGTTGTACCTTACAAGGTAAATGCATTAAATATTTAAATATCATGAAAACAGTAAATATGTTTTTTTCTGCATGACAGGCAACCAGTTCAATAATTTTCAAACCATGACATCAACTCCTCACTTAATATATTTAAAGACTGACTGAGTATAATTTTACTCCGCTTTTAGCAATATTCCAACAATATCACGGCAGGGGACACCAGAAATGAGCTTCACACATTATGTCCACGTGGGGAATCGAACAGGATCTGCAGCGTGACGAGCAAACGCCTTAACCATTAGGCTACCCCACTGCCCCTATATCAAAGACAAAATCTGATATGGAAACACAGTTGAAGCTCCTGGATTTCTCCTAGTGGAGGTCCGATTAATTGAAATAAACGACTAAACGACCAAGCAATCGATCATGTTTTCTCATAATCGAACACAAACAATTCTGGAACACTTGTTTTCATCAACAATATTTTTCACAAGGTTGGTTTTGTCTGTTACATTTCATAAGCACTACAAGCTTGTTCCAAGTCATCAATGAATTTATCTTAAATACATCAAGAATTTTATGTTCCTAACATACTAGTCATCCTTTAAAGATGTGAAATTTAGCCCAAAAAAAAATAATAATAATAAGTACGTTTTCCTTATATTTTTGTGCATTAACAAATTTCATTTCGCTTATATTTTTGTGCATTAATGAACCAAATCAATGGCATTTTCATAAAACAAACTTTATGGAACCAATTATTTTTGACAGATTGACCGTTGTCAAGGTGACAACGGTAATGAACCTGAAATGACATCAATGGCATAATAAAAAGAAGTTGTTATCCATAAAGTTTGTTCTATTCAATTATGACATTTTATTCCCAACACTAATTTAGTACAAGACCAATGGAAATATGCTTAACACAATAGATAATCGTTATACATTAAAAGTGTGTGGGAGAAGTTTGTCCATGATCATGGTAATGGCTAGTATAACAAGTGACCCTTGACGTAATGAATTCTGTAGAGAATTCTTATTTTGGAACATTATAGCAAGGAAATTATGAACAATAACAGGTTCAAAGTGATTGCATGATGTGCTAGTTAAGTGAAAGGAGTTATCTACACTTGCTTAGAGACCTAGAGTTGGCATCAGATCTGCAGCAAATGTCAGTATGAAATCCAAATTTGGAGTTAAGTTTAACCCAAATTTATGCTGTTATAGACACAATAAAAAGGCTTTCATACTTATTAAGATTTACATTATCGCAATTCATATGAACCTAGGAAAATAACAGTAAACAATCCATATTTTCACAAAATACTTTATTTTTAAATTTGCATGCCAAGGAGGCTTACATTAGAGGCATTTGTCAAAGATTTATTGCATGATCAGTCAGGTCAAATAAAAGTTCATGCCTTGTCCCAATGTGGTAGTCATTCATCCATTACTGGGAAGGTAAAGGACTATTATGGTGAACTGAACAAGTTTAATTTTTGGTATATTAAAGTACTTACCTTCAACATTGCCCGAGGACCAAGACATGTTCTTATGACATCTGCAATGGCCTAGAACAACAAAAATTACAGCTTCAGTAATATCACTGATAAGAACAATCACAGACATGTCAGATTATGGGTTATTAATAATTACTATACAATTATTAAAGAGACGACAGAACAGAATTTAACCTGAAAGTTCACATCTTGATGGCAATATAAGATTTCATGGGTAGTGCAGCAAATGAGTACAGTGAATGAAGAAAGGGCCGATTATCACATATTAATATCATTAACTGGGAATCTCTGGAATATCAATGGCCTATTGAAATGTCTTTATTTTCTCCATGTGAAATGTATATCTTTATTGATTACACATTAAGTTGCTTCCAGTAAGTGAAGCTCCTAGACTGGCTTCTCAATTCAAGGTTCTCAATTCAATGAAACCATGCAAAGCAAAGAACTGTGTGGACATAACATTGAAAAAACAAGCTATTTACCATGGTCCACCATGTGCAAGAGTTACCTCTTCATATTTTTTTAAATTATACATTCCAGCAGATAAACATTACTTTAACTTTCCAGAACAATCAATTTGATCATCTATTCAAGCTTCAGCACTTGCATTAGGCGATTCAATTCAACATATGGCTATGCTGAGGCTCGAGCTGATTGAATCTCATTAAAATCTGATGCTTTACTTTGATATGACACTTTGATACAATGGTAATGAAGTACTGATTGGTATAATACAGCTCGATACTAGGACTAAGCTCATCTAATCTCAATAAAAGAAATCAAGCACCCTTCATTAGAAATGTATGGTCCATTGTTCACTCCACAACTACTGAGTATCTACTATCAGAGAATTTAGGAGGGTCTCAGACTCTCAATGACTTGAATGTGAAGTATTTTGATAAAAATATTTAATTTAGTTTAAACAATTGAGTCAGGAATCTGTGAACAGGTTGATAATTAAACTCTGACTCAAAAGCATACAAAATGGGATACAAATGAAAACCCCACATACTTTACAAGCAATGTCATTATATATGTAATCATGAAATCGTATTGATGCGTGTATGCACATGATCTCATCACCTCACTTAGTAGCGTGCGTTTGCATGCATCTTTCTAATGACATCCTTTATATGTAACTATGGTCATTTAATTTGTGTTTGATAGATGGAATACAACGTCATAATTGGGAAATACAAATTATAGTTGACGTCATACATGGGCATGTGGTGAGTAAAAAGCCAAAATGGGAATGTTCTGGAACCGTCTCCATGTGCTCGGAATGTCAATGGCGATCACCATACAGAAACACGCGACTCACCTTTCCGGCGTTTATGTTACCGAGCTGGACCTTACGGCCAGATTCCCGCCTCGTGTTCTGGTCTGAAAGGAAAACATGACATTAATTAAACTAATGACACAAAGTAAAACGTCGCATACATCAGAATATCACAGAAAATCGTACATACTTAGCACTATTATCGCCGGCATGGTTTTGGGTTGTGATATTGGAATGAGGCTACAGTGCGTGAAGCGCCCCCTATCAACAAGGGTAGACAACTATAATTTAGGGTCGATTAAGTCCCTTTAATCATTCCCACACACACATGAAGCGCATTAAAAATCTCGTCGGTGTCCCCGACATTGTGAAGCTCGTTCCACTGTGAAACCAAAAGACGATGAAATTATTACGACCGATTTAGATTGATACACGCCTTCAAATTCACAGTAGATCGAATACAACATATGTTTTGAAATGCCGACAACATTAATTGGATTGTTTTATTGATGATCTGACACAAAACATCATGAGGTGTCAACAAATTGATTTTCCAACCTCACAGTTCCTTTCAAGTGCGTCGATTGACTGATCAATGGCCTTATGGATCCCAAAAGAAAAAACAACGTACTGTATAAACATATGAAGCACTCTCCCCTTGCCTTGGTATTTATTCTGTCGCGATTTTTCTTTCCATTAACATAGCGATATTTGGTCTCTGTTTTCACACCTGTGAAGGTCCGGGTTAGAATGAACCTTCAGTAACCCATGCTTGTCGTACGAGGCGACTAACGGGATCGGGTGGTCAGGCTCGCTGACTTGGTTGACACATGTCATCCGTTCCCAATTGCGCAGATCGATGCTCATGCTGTTGATCACTGGATTGTCTGCTCCAGACTCGATTATTTACAGACCGCTGCCATATAGCTGGAATATTGCTGAGTGCGGCGTAAAACTAAAACTCACTCACTCACTCTGTTATCAGCTCGAGCTCATGTAATCGGGGGGAAATTAACTTTGTTTCCATGCCCAAGTGTCCCCCATTCTTATCGACAAACCGGATGTCGTCCGCTAATACATTAAACACACATGCATTTATATTTTTTCTGCTATTTTCTTGTTTGTACATTGATAATTGTGGCTGTTTTTCACTAATTGGCCCAATGATATAACTCGGACGGCGCTTTTGGCTTAGTTTCCAAGAGTATTCTGGCATTAGTGTCAACTGTGCCCTCGGCCTGTCCGTTGTCAGCCACATAGCCCCAATAGGGCGCCTGCGTCGAATGTACATCAATATAAACAATACCTTTTAACTTTTTCGGGCAAGTTTAATCGGAAAGAGGTTACACGCAATAATCGCCTGACGTGGCACTGTCGTATTTAATAAATACACTGCTGGAAACGAGATATAATTGTTTTGTTTGTTGTTTACAAACCACACTCGGCGGACGAGATAAAACTTACATTGCAGCACTGGAGAGCTTACTGCTGCGTTCAGTTGATCTTAGTCTGTCATACAGACCCTGAAGCAAACATATCCAAGAAATCCCACGCAAGTCTAGAACATGTCTAGATTTCCACAGCTTCAGGCTGAAAATGAAGAAAGTCTCAGGGCTCCTTTTTATTATATTTTTTTTACTGTGAGCCTTTTTTCTGTTAAATATGTTCATTTCAGAGACTAGTTGTTAGTCTAAGCAGGGATACTCTACAACAGGGCCTTATATAGTCTCCCTGGTCTAAGTTGATCTGGGATGTAGAACAAACTGATATAGTCCCCAAGAAAGTATTTAGACCCTTTTTTGTTGTTGTTGTTGTTGTTGTTGTTTTAGGGATTTTGTTTTGGGTGTGTTTCTTGTTGTTGTTTGGGATTCCAGTAAGAAGCGAGATCGGGTGATCAGGCCCAATTTCCTGGTTGACACCGCACGTCATTGCACACACACACACACACACACACACACACGCACGCACGCACGCACACACGCACACGATGGTGTTATCCAGTATGTGTGTGTCCCCAGAAATCATTATTATTTAATCACAACAAAGGTTTATTTACCCACAATCAAACTTCTCAATAACGAACCTTTTTCAAGCTCACCCTGCTCTACTCACAAGACAGTGGATTGTTCCATTATACCCGTAGGTATTACCCTACATGATTAACCTTCTAGTTCAGTGTCTGTCAATTGGGTGTCTGTCAAATGGGTGTCTGTCAATTGGGTGTCTGTCAATTGGGAGATAACCTCTACAGGCGGACGAGATGGCGGCCTGCCCTTTGGCTTTAGCCAGATAACGGTAAATTTCTTATTTGTTTAGAACAAGCATCCCCACATGTACATAAACCTCTAGTGTGATGTCGATCTCTATACTGTAAGTCGACAGCAAGCGTCTGCAACCTTGTAACCGCCATTAAATCAATATATTGTTGATATAGCCTTATGACGCTATGGTACTGGCGCTTTGGTACTGATAAATAATCAAGTCTGGAACAGACAATCCAGTGATCAACATAATGAGCATCGATCTGCCAATTTAGCGAGCCGGACCACCCGATCCCGTTAGTCGCCTCTTTCGACAAGCACGGGTTGCTGTACGACCAATTCTAACCGTCTGTAAATGCTACATGCTTATTCAAATAGCTATTATTGCTAGCATAATAATGATTGTCTGACTATGCGTGTCTAAGCAAATCCTGCTGGATGTAATCTGAATGACTGTATTGCGTATCAGGCCCAGTGGTCTAAATACTGAATATATTTTGTCTACAAGCCTGTATTACACTATACCTTTCTCTATTTGTTTCAAGTGGAACAGAGCTGGGATGACGTCATGTGTATATTATGTAAACTAGTTTTAAGTTGTTTTCATTTTCGACAAAGACGTTGATCATCCAAGCTAAACCTTCACAGGTCTGCAGTTGTACGTCTCTTTGGTATGCCGGACACAGATTCCGTGGGTTTGAATCCAGGTAATGTGTCCTGGTTTGTCTGCACCATAGTTGTGCTAGTTAGTCGCGCGTGGTAAACGTCTGGCCTACTAAGCTGACACGTCTAAAAACTGTTCAAAGCACCGTTAACCAAACCTCGCTCACTGTCGTCTCTAGGTATATACATAGATATCCCACTTCTAAGCCTAGCCGTTAGCTGTAATACTGCTGACCACCAAGCAAACCTCGCTCACTATCGTCTCTAGGTATATACACAGTATCCCACTTCTACAGTTCTATAAGCCTAGCCGTTAGCTGTAATACTGCTGAGCACCAAGCAAAACAAACAAAACAACAAGCAAAAATCCAAATCTCACTTACATAACAAGGTTTTATGTGTAGGCCTGAAGTTTTGGGTTAGGTAGAAACTTGCAAAGGACAAGGTCAGGTTGTTGGGAACATGCCAGACTACCTCAAGTAATTCCTTGAGTACATACATGACTCAATCCCAGCCGAGAAGACGCTATGTGCACTTCAGTAATTGCGAGTTTTTAAACATCGGCACATTCAAATGTGTATGTATTAGCATACTAGTACTCAAGTGTTGTTGAATGCATTGCTAAGAATCTTCAGTATTTGGAACAGTCGTCTGTTTATTGCATGGACTCATAATGTTTTATGCTGGTCATGGCGAGAAGATATTTTATTACTTTTTTTAAATATTTTTTTTTATTATTTCCATTTTTTCTCACTCTGCAACATAAATAATATAGTCATATATGTGACGATGTACATGTTTTTCCTTTCAATTACTTGGTAAATATAAGGTACAGATAGGTATTCACGCAGATATGCACATACATTAGCAGGCTGGCATCAGTCAATCTGTTTTACCATATGTAAAGTAAACAAAAGACGGTTCAGATTATAGGCATATGACACTTCACATACATTGTTCATATTTAGGAGAAAGTACAAAGTAGATCATGGTGCATCAAGAAGATATATTTATGATAACGTAATAAATTCACCCAATTTTAAAACCAAAACTATATTCCAAAACTATGCCAATAACTGTGGGGGTTGTTAGGGATATCTGATGTACTTATGTCTTGCTCCATATGCACAGTGTGTATAGTGCTGAACATCTGGTAGCATAAGACACTGTAAACATGAAATGGAAAATAAATCGCTCTCTGTATACAGAAGATAATGTCTAAAGGTATATGTATGAAATACACGAAGGACGCTATGACTTCCCAACTAATAGTCTGTCTCACCCAGCCGTTTCTGTCATGTTAAAAGTGTGCACTGCACTGATATATACAGTATCTCACCCAAGTGTCTACTGATATCAATTATATCAACACGAGTTGATAAAGTTACAAATATTTTTACTTTTATCAACGAGTGTTGATATCTTTGATATCAGAAGACAAAAAGTTGATTCTATTTATCAAATGTATCACTCTTCAATAGTTTTCAGTGAAAAATGTGCAGTGCAGTGATGTCATAGCATTGTGACGTCATCAAGTGTATGGCGTCATAGAATTGTGAGTCATTTAATTGATTATGTCAAAGCATTGTACAAAATCTCACACATGCAATAGCTCCAGTGGAACACAGTTATGGATGATAAAACTGTAGATGTCATCAGTGATACGGGCACTGTCACTATTTGGGATTGACATATGACTGATATATATTCGGTTGTCATGACTTGTCATGTCGCTGATATAGCTCTGGTTTCTGTGTCTCCCACTGTGAAGAACGCGGCATCGCCAGTATTCCCCACTGGTGTAGCCATGGTTGTCATGTTTGACACTGTAACTGCTATATTTCAGGTTCCATTGGCTACTGTCATGCATGACATGTCATGTCACTGATATATCTCTGTGTCTGTCCTGAAGGAAGAGCGGTCATGTTCGACATGTCCCCTGTCTACTATGCTAAAGGAAAACCCCTACTGCCCTGAACGGAAACCTCGTGTGTCAGAATACCGCTCTCTTGATTAACACGACTATTAATTACATGCCTGTCATGACTCAGAGCGTCACGTTTGACATGACAATGCGCCCAAACGCAGCAGCCACCGATCGATATAACAACATTGTCACATGTGCTCTGTCCCGTCTGACCGACACTTACATACAACGCTCCCATCAGGTGGCGTACAACGCCGCCAACAGTCCTGTGCACCTCTGCTGATTCGACGGTTTCTCTCGCCCGCAGCACATGAGATCCTGACATAATACAGGTGCTTCAAGTAATACATCTCCCACCAGCGGAATTCTCCATAAGCAGTACTGCATTAATTCACCAATATCGTTAATTAATTTTAGTGTAGTGTTCTAATTACTATTGATTACACTGCCATTACATTTCTTATAGACACCCTACTAT